CCATACTTGATGGTTCTACCTAGGTTGCCCTTTTTGTTAATCTACGTGTGTTCTGTTGTGCATAGGGTTTTCAGAGGCCTGCTATTTCAGAAGTATGGAGTAGAGTTCTACTGTCACACCATGGTGTTGCCTTGAGTCAGGTTGACTTGATGGCAAGTAGTTTGTCTTAGGTTAAAATGAATTCAAGTCACACACACACAAAAAACAGTTGTGGCAGTCTCACTGAAGATGGTAACAAATAGACACATTCTAAATGGCTTTCAATAGAAAGTCTACATTCGTTTCAAAAACATAAAGAGCTCTGGTGGTTTAGTCTGCTGCTAACCAAATGGTCAAACATCTCTGGAGCTTTGAGTCTCTAAGGATGAAGGTTTAAAGTTTCTCTCTTGGAATCTAGTGGAAGGAGGAATCTTCTCTCATTGCAATTTATAGTCTAGGAAAAGATTGCCATGGACTGTAGCTGGTAGTCCTGAATAAATATCCCAAGAATTCTAATAGAACCAACTGTGTTTCTATTTGATCAAGAATCTCAATTGTTTTGCAAATTTTAAAAGTTCATAAAACCACAATGCTTTGTAGAGCTCTAGAAACCAGCTAGGTGATAACCAGAAATACCCACTGCAGGCGATGGAACCAGTGTCTGAATTGTAGCTATCTACCTTCCATCCCTGAAGCATCTGAACAAGGACATTCAAGCAACAGTTTTCACGTCCTAAGGATGAGTTCCTGAATGAAATCTCTTTATTTGATTTCATTATCAACCAAGTGTAAGACGACTCATCTAGATTTAGTTAAAAATCAGCTGTGGGCTAAAAAGCCTCTTGTTTCAATTAATCAGGATCTGGTGGGTGGGGCTTAGTATTTAAAAGTTGCTTGGGCCCTCAGGCCCAGTGTTAAAATTGTGTCTGAGGAGAACATGGTCTAAGGGATACAGCACTTATCTGCAAATGTACTGAACTGAGATAACTTGGGGTTGCTGTGATACTGAAAGCTGTGCCACTGATATGTCAAATGTCATAATGGTGCACAGGATTTGAAAGGGCTCCCAGATTAAGACAGACTTGGAAGCAGGATTGGCATCTACTTCATAAATAACACGCCTTTGAAAACCCTATAAACACTAGAGAAACAATGATAATTCTAGAACAGGGTTCAGATCTTTTCCTCCTCAAAGATTAACAGCCTCAGAAACTCAATGAAGAGTTGCTCCTCCTGTAGAGAAGGTAGTGGATTTCAACTGTTAACAAAAAAGCATGTGTTTCAAATCCACTAGCTATCCCATGAGTAAAAGATGGGCAATTTCCTTCCTTTGAGATTTTAGCATCTGAAAACCTGCGATAGGGTCAGTTAGGAATTGGTTCCAATTTGACTACACACAACAATCCTTAAATAGCCATTGTTATATATTGTTAGACCTGACTCATAGCTGACCCTCCAGTGGATCTTCAGAGGCAGTAAATTGCATGTGGGTGGGAAAAGGGATCTCTGGTGGCCTCGTGGCAAGGAGCTGCACTGCTGACCTTAAAACAGCATGAAGTTCAAATCCACCAGCAGCTCTGCAGGAGAAAGATGGGCAATCTCCTGTGTAATTTATTGCCTCTGAAAACCTGCTGGAAGGTCAGCTATGAGTTGGTTCTAACTTGATGGAACATAACAAAAACAAATCCCAGAGGGGAGAAGATTGCCCATCGCCCTCCCAAGGTGCAGCTGGTAGATTCAAAGCACATGCCTTTGGGTTGGTACTGCAACTCCTTACCACTGAGCCAGAGCTCAGCTAGACAGCCTTAATATATTTTCATGTTGCAAGAGAACTAGATCCCCTTGTCTTAAAAAAACATATAGCTAAGAAAGTCACATATATGAATTAGGAGCAGGAAAATAAGAAAACAATTTCTCTCAATCACTGAGAAGGAAAAGAAGATATTTTAAATTAAATATAATATTTCAAATATTATCTTTTTACTTTAGACAGTATTGGTAGCACTGTAAACATAAAACAATGTGTTATACAAACACAAAAATTTCTAGACTTAAATTTAATTCTTATCAAGAAAATTAATCAATTCAAAAAAATTGCTTTTAATTTATTTTTACCATTAAGAACTTACTTGAGAGTAATCCTGCCCACCAAAGCCATTCCTTGAGGTAAGAATGTCCACCTTGTCCTAGGAAAAAGTAATAAAAACAGGAACTAAGTTCTGCTTGAAAAAGATAATGAACATATTTAATGTCCTGAGCTGTGTACATGAAGACTGATATGGTAAATGTTTTACTACTCGTATATTTAGTACAATCATAATTTGTTACGACATTAAGCTTTAATTGAAAAATGATCCCTAGGAAAGGTATTGGATGATTGTTGCTGTTGTCATCAAGTCGACTACAAGTCATAGTGACCCATCCTGTGCCATCCTCACCATCTTTGATATACTTGAGCCCATGACAGTGGCTGTGCCAATCTGTCTTGTCTTCCTCTCCTTTGCTAACCTTCCATCATTCCAAGCTTGAGGTCTTTGTCCTTTTCTAAGGACTGGTCCCTCCTGACAACATGCCCTAAGTATACAGGATGTAGTTTTACCATCCATGCCTTCAAGGAGCATGCTAGTGGCACTTCCTCTAAGACATCTGTTTGTTCTCCAACATCACAATGCAAAGGCATTGATTCTTCTGTCATCAATAGTCATTATCCAACTTTAAGATGCATAGTAAGTAATTGATAAGACCATAGCTTAGATCAGATGGACCTTAGTCTTTAAACTGACATCACTGGGATCCTGGGCTGAATTCTTTCTGACTCTTCTTTCTTGGTGTTAATAGAATGCTCTGATCTCTGCTGTATATAATCTCTGTGACATCTCAATAAGAGACTAACTCAGATGCAACCTAATCCTAGAGATTGTATCTTGCCTCTAGTCCTACCTCATTAATAAAGATTTACAGCATATAGATGGAGGATAATTACATAATATGTACATGTAGAAGAGGCTAGTTAAAACAGCCATTGTTTTTAGGTCAAGTACATGGTGAACTTACGAACAACAGACCTGAATCCTATCCTGTGTCACCCTTATCATCTCTGATATACTGTGTCAATACATTTCACTTGGGGGGCTTCCTCTCTTTTGTGGACCTATTGCCATGGGAAAGTCTGCTGTTAGGGACCTCTCCAAAGTACTGAAGAGCAATGGTGTCTCTCTGGAGACTAAGGTGCACCTGATACAGGCCATGGTCTTTGCGATCACTTGTTATGCATCAGAGAGTTGGACAGTGACTAAGGAGGACAGAAGGAGAATCGATGCCTTTGAGCTGTGGTGCTGGAGAAGAGTATTGAGGGTACCATGGACTGCTAGGAAAACAAACAGATTCATCCTGGAGAGGGTTAAACTGGGTGGTTCCTTGGAGGCAAGGATTCTGAGGCTCAGTCTAACATACTTTGGACATGTTGTAAGGAGGGACCGATCCTTGGAGAGGGACATCATGCTTGGGAGGGTGGAGGGACAGCGCAGGAGGGGAAGGCCCTCTATGAGGTGGATTGATTCAGGACTGGGGTAATCAGGGTGGGCGTGTCGGAGACAGTGTGATTGACACAGGACAGAGAAGAGTTTAGGGCTGTTGTACATAGGGTTGCTATAAGTCGCAAGCGACTCGATGGCACATAACAAAAACAACAACAACCACCATCTTTCCAAGTATGATAACCCTCTCCAAGGATTAGCCTCTCTTAGCAATATGTACAAAATGTGGGTGACTAAGTTTTACCACCTTTGCCTCCAAGGAGTACTTTGCTCTTTCATCAAGATATATCTGTTGGGGTTTTGGCAGTCCATGGGATATTCTAGCAAAATCCTGCTGAAGATTATCCAGAAACAATTGGAACAGTACATTGACAGTGAAATACCAGAAATATAAGCTGGGTTTAAAAGAGGTCGTGGCACTAGAAACATGATTGCCGATGTCAGATAGATCTTGGCAGAAAGCAAAGAGTACCAGAAGAATGTCTGTGCTTCATTGATTATGCAAAGGCATTTGACTGTGTGTATCACAACAAATTGTTGCTAACCTTAAGGAAAATGGGAATCCCAGAACACTTGATTGTGCTTATGCGAAATCTATACCAGGAAGCAGTTCTCAATACAGAGCAGGAAAACACTGCATGGTTCAAAATCAGGAAGTCATGGTTCAAAATGCATCAGGGATGCATCCTGTCTTCATATCTTTTCAATCAATATGCAGAACAGATCATTTGGGAAGCTGGTCTTTATGAGGAGGAATGTGGCATCAGGATTGGAGGTAGACTCATCAACAACATATGTTATGCAGATGACACAACTTTACTTACTGAAACTGAAGAATACCTGAAGTGCTTGCTGCAGAAGGTTAAGGACTGTAGTCTTCAATACGGATTGAAGCTTAACATCAAGCAAAGACTCTAACCACTAGACACTGGCAGTATCATGATATATGGAGAAGAGATTGAGGTTGTTAGTAATTACAGCTTGTTCAGCTTCATAATCAATACTCTTAATAACAGCAGTCAGGAAATCAAAAGATGAATTGCATTGGGAAAAATCTGCTGCCAGGGTACTGAAAAAGCAACAACATCAGTCTAGAGAGTAAAGTGTGCCTAATCCAGGCCATGGACTTAGCAAGTCTTTCTTGGCTAAGAATGACAGAAGAAGAATTGAAGCCTTCAAGTTGTGGTGCTGGAGAAGAGTCTTGAACATACCATGGACTGCCAAGAAAACAAATAAGTCTGTGTAGGAGAGGGTGAAACCATGTTTCCCCTTGGGGGCTAGGACTTTGAAGCTTTGTCTCACATACTGTGGACACGTGGCCAGGAGAGACGGGTCCCTGAAGAAGGATGTCATGCTTGGAAAGGTAAAGGGACAGTGCAGGAAGGGAAGAACTTGGATGAGATGGATTGATACAGTCACTGGGGCAATGGGGGTTGGTGTGTCAAAATTAGTGAGACTGGCTCAGGACAGGGCATGGTTCAGAGCTGCTGTAGATAGGGTTGCTATGGGTCACAGGCAACTTGATGGAACATAACAACACCACCACCACCACCAACAGGGATTATTCAGCACTTTTCTCCAACACCACAACTCAAAAGTATCAATTCTTCCTCTGTCATCCTCATTCATTGTCAAGCTCTCAGATGCATCACAAGTGACTGAAAAGACAAGACCTGAATCAGGCATACCTGAGTTTTCAAACAGACACCACTGGTCTCCAGTATTCTGGAGAAGTCCCTGACAGGCAGACTTGCCTAAAGCAACATATCTCCTGATCTTCTGACTGGTGGTATCAAGGGTGTTGAGTGTGGATACAAGTAAGATGACAGTGTCAGTCAATTCTCCATCTACCACGATGTTGCTTATTGGCCCAGTGGTAAGGACTTTGTTTTCTTGATTGAGCCATACTGAAGGCTGTAGTCCTTAATCTTCTGCAGCACTTAGTATAGTATTTCATTGTCAGTCCTATGTACTGGTGTAACTTGTAGGCTGCGGTTATGTTTGAAACTCTGATACCAGTGTCAAATGCCAGAAGGATCACCCATGTTGGACAGACTGCAGCAGAGTTCCTAGTTTAAGACAGACTGGGAAGCACTACAGGCCATCCACTTTAGAAATTACAAGCCTTTGAAAACTCTATGAAAATAGCACTAGGTACCTTGATTACAAATCACTAATAAATCTTCTATGGAGCTCTGGTGGCCTAATGGTAAAAAGCTGTGCTGCAATCTCAAAGACACGTGGTTCAAATCCACCAGCTATGGGAGAAGGCTGGGCAGTCTCCTCTCATGCAATTTACTGCCTTTGAAAACCCACTGGAAGGTCAGATGCGAGTCAGTTCCAACTCGGTGACAAACAACAAAAACAATTTATATTCAATAAAATATCTCAATAAAAGTCTGACTCAAGTTATCACCCAATCTAGTAGATTATAAATAGCCCCCTTAACCTAGTGCTGCTCACCTTGCCTCATTTAAATGTCATCCAGTTGACTTTAACTCATGTCAACCCTATGAACAATAGAGCGGAACCGTGCCCTATCCTGTGCACCATCCTCAAGATCTCTGATATGTTTGAGACCATTGTCAATCCATAATGTTGAGTCATCCACTTTGCCCCGATATTATATACACACACACACACACACACACACATTTTTTTTATTCATTCGTTTGTTCATTCATTCATTCCAGCCTATTATTGCAGCCACTTTGCCAGTCCATCTAATTGTCTAATTGACGGTCTTCTCTTTTGATGATCCTCTCTTAAGACTAGTTCCACCTGACAACATGTTCCAAATATGTGAGACTAAATTTCACCATCTTTGTTTCTAAGGAGCATTCTGGTTATACTTCCTTGATTTTACTTTCATTAACATTCTAAAGATATGAACTTACAACACAGAAGATCACTATACTAGATAATAAAAGGGAGAATAAGTACATAATACTTTTGTATGGACAGGAGGCTACTTAAAACAGAAGCCCTTAGTTCTTAAAATGGTATCTTTAATTTTTAATGCTTTAAAGGAGTTTCTTGCAGTGTATTTGAGCAATACAGTGTTATTTAATTTCCACAAATGCTGCTTCTAGTGATGTTGTCCATGGATTCAAGTAAAATTAAATTCTTCACAATTTCAATCTGTTCTCCACTTATCATGATATTGCCTATTGGTCCAGTTCTGAAGATTTTTGAGGGATTTTTGTTGAAGTATAATTCAAACTGAAAGCCACAGCTTTTGATGTTGATCAGTAAGTGCTTTTATGTCTTCTTCACTTTCAGAAAGCAAGTTGTGTCAACTACATATCACAGGTTGATAATGAGTCATCCTCCAATGATGTTGCACTCTTAATCATATATTGAGAATGAGAAACTGAGGAATAAATGTTCATTGTTAAAAAGATGATTTTAAGATCTATTCTGTAAAACCATGCTGTGAATCATCAGATACTATCCACACACAAACAAGGAATTCCAGCTGGTTCTTGTATATGGTGTGAGTTTTCTGTAGACAGATGTCCAATTACGCCAGCATCATTTGTTAAAGAATCTGTCATTTCCCCACCTAATGGATTTCGTTTTTTGTCAAAGATCAGTTGAACATACATGAATGAGTTGATTTCTGGGTTCTTGATTCTATTCTTTTGGTCTATGTGTCTATCACAGCATGCTGTTTCCAATACTACGGCTGTGTAGCAGATTCTGAAATCAGAGTATGATGCCACCTACTTTATTTTCCAGTAGCCTTTGCTTATTTAAAATCTCCTTCCTTTCTAAATAAAGATGGAAAATGCTTTTTCCATCTCCTTGAAGAATGACATGTGTATTGGGCTTATATTGAAACTACAGATTGATTTTTGTAGGATTTTTATTTTCACATATTGAGTCTTCCTATCCATGAACATGCTATATTCCATATATCTAGGTCTCTTTTTGGTTTTTGTGCAGTTGTGTTTTGAAGTTTTCTTTAGATTGATCTTTTGTGTCTCTAGAATTTTATGCTATGATTGATTATTGTCATTTGTCTTGCTTATTTCCTTTTTTATGTTCTCTTTGCTACTGTGGAGAAATCCAACTCATTTTTGTATGATGATCTTGCATCCTATCACTTTACTAAATTGGTCTACTAAATTCAACAGTTTTCTTGCTGAGTGTTTAGGATTTTCTATGTATACTATCATATCATCTGCATATAGAGATAGTTTTACCTCCTCCTTGCCAGTTTGGATGCTTATTTTCTTTTCTTACTGATCTTCTGACATGGCTTTTTATTGCTTATTTCCAAACTGTAAAGCTCCAAATATCATTGCTGATGTCAGATGGATCCTGGCTGACAGCAGAGAAGAACAGAATAATGTCTTTTTGTGTTTTACTGACAGCCTGGGAAAAGGCATGTGACAATGTGGATCTTGTTGTTGTTATGTGCCGTTGAGTCATTTGCGACTCATAGCGACCCTATGTACAACAGCCCTAAACCCTACTCTATCCTGTGCCAATCACATTGCCTTTGACACACCCATCCTGATTACCCCAGTCGCTGAATCAATCCACCTCTTACGTCTTCCCCTCCTGCGCTGTCCCTCTACTATACCCAGCATGATGTCCCTCTCCAAAGACCTGTCTCTCCTTGCAACATGTCCAAAGTATGTCAGACGAAGCCCCAGAATCTTTGCCTCCAAGGAGTAGCCTGGTTTAACCCTCTCTAGGATGAATCTGTTTGTTTTCTTGGCAGTCCATGGAACATTCAATACTCTTCTCCAGCACCACAGCTCAAAGGCATCAATTCTCCTTCTGTCCTCCCTAGTTATTGTCCAGCTCTCTGATGCATAACAAGTGAATGCAAAGACCGTGGCTTGTATCAGGCGCACTTTCCTCTCCAAAGAGACACCGTTGCTCTTGAGTACTTTAGAGAGGTCCCTAACAGCAGACTTTCCCATCGCAATACGTTTTTTGATTTCCTGGCTGCTGGTGCCAAGAGTGTTGACTGTGGAGCCGAGCAAACTGAAGCTGTGAACAATCTCAATCTCTTCGCCATCCATCCTGATGCTACCAATAGGTCCAGTGGTGAGAATCTTTGTCTTTTTGACATTGAACCTCAGTCCATACTGAAGGCTGCAGTCCTTGACCCTCTGCAGTAAGTGCATGAGGTCCTCTTCAGTTTCAGTGAGAAAAGTTGTGTCATCTGCATAACACAGATTGTTGATAGATTTCCCACCAATCCTGACGCCACGCGTCTCCTTAAAACTCTGACATTCTCTTGTCCATCCATCGGATGTTTGGTGCTCTTCTCCAATATCACAAAGGTGCCAATTATTTTTCTATCATTCTTATTCACTATCCAGCTCTCAGATGCACAGAAAAATAATCAGAAAGACCATGGCTTGGATCAGATGCACCTTAGTCCCCAAACTGGCTTCATTACTCTTCAGTAATTTGGAGAAGTTCCTAACTGCAGATTTTCTGTCAATTTTACTGACCCTAGAAAGATCTTTTTAATGTTAAAAATGATTTCATTTTAAATTCATACTATCTGTAGTTAATTTTGCTGAATGTGAAAAAGTAGAATTTTTCTGCTTTAATCCTTTAATTTTGGTCAATTGCCTCAATACCTGTTTTCTTAAACAAGGCATTCTTTCTCTGTTGATTTGTAAAATGTAGAAGTACTCAGGTTATGTAAGTTTTTATTATCTTTTATTATTTTTATTAGTATAAAGCTCTTAGTCATACAGCATTTACTATTTTATTAAGATAGCATTATAAAATGTTTTATTTTCTGCTATTACCAGTCATCTTTCAGTAAGAATCTTTTATAAACTTTTTATACAATTTGTAGCCACTTACTTTTCCATATGAACCACAGAAAAAAGTTTAACTAGGTTATGTTATGCTTGATTAAAATGAATAGAAAACTCAATGAAAGCTGGATACTCACAGCTACACAGCATCAAGAATGTTACTATGAAAAGATAACCAATTGGAATTTACAGCTTTCATACTTCCTTTTCCATATGAACCACAGAATAAAATTTAGCTGGCTTCTGTTACACTTGATAAGAATGAATAGAAAACTTACAGTTAATATGGATACTCAAGCAAAGTTATGTCTGTATGAATAGACGCTCTCAATTTATTGATTTCATGTTTATACTATTCATAGGAACCTTCTAGATGCAAGGTAGCTGTGTGCTAGACAAGGCCCCCGGCTCTTGTGGATCTACTATCAATAAGTAAGTAAACTTACTTAATTAATGATAGTATGTAACTAACAGTTATCCTAAGCACAAAGAAGCAAAACATTAATGCCATGCTAGGGGAATAAAGGGGTGGGTGGGAGGATGTCAACATGTACCAGAGGGAATGGATAAGAAAGAACGCTCAGATGTGATGATAATTAAGTTGAAGAATGACAAATGAAACAGAATCAAGAAAATAAAAGCAGGGGAGAGCGATTCCTAGGCAAAGAGAAGACATGAGGAGGAACAGAAGCTCCTTGGCACATTCTGAGAACTGGAGAAAAGCAGCTGAGTGGGAGGGCAGCACAAGCTGAAGTGGAGAGGTAGCAGGTGGTGCGATTACACAGGTCAGAGAGAGTAGTCTGGTGTTTGTTCTTTTCTGAATGCAAAAAAATGCCAGCAAAGTATTTCTGACCTGGAGTGTTGCCTGAGCTGACTCTGAAAACCAAAATTATGGAACAAAATCCATGAAAGAAGAACCTACACTACATCTGAAACCTCTGAAAGCAAGAACAAGTCTAGTTTCAGTCTCATCTCAAAGGACATGCAGCTGGCTCCAGAAAATTTTAAGAAAAGAAAGACAGGTGGAGATTATTATTTTTTAAATTTGCTCTAGTATCAACTCTAACAGTAACCTCTTGTGTGCCAAAGGAGAACTGTGTTCCACTGGGTTTTCAATGGCTGCTTTTTCAAAAATGTATCACTAGGCCTTTCTTCCAAGGCAACTCTGGGTGAATCTAAACATCCAACCTGTCAGTAAGCAGCCAAACACATTAACTATTTGTTTCCCCGTCCCCACCGTGTTCTGATGGCCCAGTGGTAAGAAGCTGCGCTGCAATCTCAAAGCCACATGCTTAGAATCCACTAGCTCCTCTGTAGAATGTTGTGATTTAATGCCGCTGAAAACCCACTGGAGGGTCAGCTGAGTCTGTTCTGACTCGACAGCGCACAGCAACAACAGCCCCAACACACACTGGGAATTCCAAGATATGTGAGACATAAATAATAAATATTATTACTATAACATCATAGCCTTAAAAGAAGACTGTGTTTACAGTTAGAAATTGGAATTGGCTAGTTGCATTTGGTTCTTACCAGCTCTAGTAACTCCCTTCTTGGCCAGTCGTAAGAGGCCCTTCTTTTTCAGTACAAAGCTGGAGCCAATGAAAATACTTGAACTTATGGCGAGTGCCAAGCCCACATAGAGACTGTATTTGCTTTCGGTGTTTGCAGAAATGCTCAAGTTGGTTACACTGGAATTCAGGTCCATGTAGATACGAGGAGAAGCCAAAAGTTGTGACACATTTGTAATCTCACACCAAGCCTGGGAAGAGTTTGGACAGACCAGAGATAGGATATAACCTGAAAGAGAAGAAGAAAATATAAGTGAAAAACCAGGAGGGGGATGCATTGATGTTTACCCTCTTACTAAGAATCACAGACGTGAATGGAAGGTGCTTTCTGCCGCGTGATGTCACCAACAAGCAGTCCACTGGTCTGGAGACCTGTTGTTCATTGTGTGCAGGTTTATACAATTGTTTTGTTGTCAGCTTTAAAAAATGAGTGACTTCAAGTGAACCATCCAGGGACTTGTACCACTCAGCAGCTTCAGCGGCTTCAGCGGCTTCAAAGAAATAGGATCTAACAGAAAACATCAAAATCTAGATTCACATTATAACTTAGAAGTTCTAATAATGCTTGGCTCTTCATTTCAGCTAAGCAGCAACTTCCTGGAGCAGTAAGCATACCACTGCCACGGAATTCATTCTGATTCACAGAGATCTTACGGGACTTTCCAGCCTATAAATCTAAAGAGGAGACTGCTCTTCTTTCTCCTTTGAGGCTCCTGAGATGCACAGCCTTTCCATTAGTGGCACGACACAGCACATACGATGCCAACATTGTGCACTTCAGAAAGCATATTTAAATCCAGACTTGGTTTTCCGTATATCACTGAAGAGTCTATATTTTCAGCTTTACAAATCTCTTTTTTTACCTAAATAAAACAGAACTTATATATGAGAGCACAGAACTGGGCTCCATAAACTTTCCATTAATTTTTTTAAAGTGGATTGACTGCCAGGCCTTTCTTTTGATAGGTGGATTTATACTTCCAACTTTTTGATTAATAGCCAAATGCAATAAATGTACCACCCAGTAACTTCAAACAATGAACAAGGATGACAGAACTGACGCCTTGAGATATGGTTTTATAGACTACTGAATTTCCCATGTGTTGCGAAAAGAACAAACAGATATGACTCAGAAAGCACAGGCAGAGTGCTCATGAGAGGCAAGGGTGGCAGAGCTTCACCTCACATACTTTGGGCAAGTTGCTGGATGGATGTTCCTTCTAAGGGGACTTTATGTTTGGAAGGTGGAGGGTCAGTGAGAAAGGAAGCTCCTCAACAAGATGGACTGACATAGTGACTGCAGCAATGGGCTCAAATATGTCAGAGATGATAAACATGGCACAGGACGGGGCAGGGTTCAGATCTGTTGTTCATAGGGTCACTGAGTTGTACTCAAAAGAGCTTAAGAACAATAAAAACATGAGCTAAATGTTGTTGTTACCGTCTAGTCCGAACTGACTCAGAGCTGACCCTCCAGTGTGTAAACTGAGGTAGTATAATAGCACAAGAGGAGATTGCCTGTCTTTCTCCCACAGAGCAACAGGTGGATTTGAACCATATGCCTTTGGGATGGTAGCACACCTCTTTACCACTACCAGAATTGGGTATTTTTAAAAGAATAAAATGTCAATGAAAATTCAAAAGTCACTGCCACTGAGTCGATTCCAACTCACAGTGACCCTTCATGGGGTTTCTCAATCTTATTTTCACGGGAAAGAGTTTCCCTATGGAGCCACAGGTAAATTCGAACTGCCAAGAATGCCTAGCCTTTCAGTCAGCAATGAAACCTATAGGTCAAACGTGAATTTCATGAGCAAGTGTTTGAAATTTTGGAATTTTAAACACTAAAATGGGAAATGAAAACATTTATATTACCTAAGAAACTACTTGGAATCTCTTCTCCACTTGAAAAGATAGCAACAAAGAGACACAGATCAGATTTTTATCGTCCCAAATTTCCTTATCTTCTTAAAAAAGCTAATTTTAGTGGTTAAATGAAATATCAATCTGTTCTGTAAAGATTCACTGAAATCACAATAAAAGGTTTTCTTTTTCAAAAAAGGCATATTTTGTTCTTCCTCTATTTTTTATGCTGTAAGATCTGCTTTCCCCTCTGTCTTGCCAGGGGTCCTTTCTCCCTGTTCTTTCTTTCACTTTAACCATTTTGCATGGCCCACCTAATACTAGCTCTGCCTCTTATTTTGCGTTGCCTTGGTAAACCTTTTTCACTTGTTTCATTGAGGGGGAAAAAAAGACAGGCCTATTTTTTTCCCCATTTATTTTAAACAAAAGATGGTAAAGGAATATTGACCCAATACAATTTTACTAATCAATAAAATCAGTTTTACATCCCCAAAATACTACTAATAAAAACCAAAGGCAGTTTGATCAAATTGTTTCTTAGCAACAAAACATCAGTAAAAGGGCCATTTTCTCCTTGGTAAAGCTGTACGAAATCATCTAAATTTTATTTAAGCAAAGTTAAAAAATAGTCATAAAGCTCAAGTCTGTTATGTGCCGTTGAGTCACTTGCAACACATAGCGACCCGGTGTACAACAGCTCTGAACACTGCTCTACACTGAGCCAACCTTAATCTCTCTGACACACCTACCCTCATTACCCCAGTCACTGAGTCAACCTATCTCCTTCAGGGTCTTCCTCTCCTGCACTATCCCTCCACCCTCCCAAGCATGATGTCCCTCTCCAAGGACTGGTCCCTCCTTCCAACATGCCCAAACTATGTCAGATGGAGCTTCAGAATCCTTGCCTCCAAGGAGCAGCTTGGTTTCACCCTCTTGAGGATGAGCGTGTTGTGTTCTCCAACTTTTTGATTAATACTCTTCTCCAGCACCACAACTCAAAGACATCAATTTTTCTATCATCTCTAGTCATTATGGTAAAATAATTGAATACAACATTGAACATTATTTCACTCATCTCTGTAAAGTGGTTATGAATCAACTTTGTTTTGTTGATACAGAATAAATTTTGAATTAAATTTCTAAATATTTAGGTATATTGTGGTATCAAGAGTTTATTATTCAAAATGACTTTCCTATCCATGTGAATGGGCAAGGACATGGGAATAGGGGGTCTGTTCACAGGGCTTGGCTAGGGTCGTCATTAAATTGAGTGAATTCAGCAGCAGAAATTGGGAATCTCACCACTAGGAAAGAGGTAGCAAAGAACACAGAGTGTGTATCCTTCAGGGAAAAATATTCCTGTACTCCTCAGACCAGGGCCTACATGAGCAGCAGCAGCACTAGCTGCAGCTGAGAACCAGACACCTTACATGTGACAGAGCTAATTTCAGGACTGCTACCCTATGGAACCAGAGCTAGGGGCCTTTACCCAAGCTTGTTTGGGGGTGGGGTGATGCCAAGATGCACCCGATCCAGGCCATAGTCTTCACAAGTTGTTTGCTATACGTCAGAGAGTAGGCAATGACTAGGGATGATAGAGAATTGATGTCTTTGGTGCTGATGAAGAATGCTGAATATACCATGGACTGCCAGGAGAACAAACAGGTTTGTCTTAAAGAAGGTAAAGCCAGACTGCTCCTTGAAGACAATGATTCTGAGGCTTCGTCTGACATACTTTGGGCATGTAGGAAGGAGGGACCAGTCCTTGGAGAGGAACATTATGCTTGGAAGAATGGAGAGATGGAGAAAAAGAGGGAGACCATTGATAAGATGGATTGATACAGTGACTGGGGTAAAGCTGGAGTTAGTAAGAGGCCATATAAATGGCTGTCCCCACCTTGGACACTTTTTACCTGTATCAAAAGATCTCTGGCACCACAATTCATGGCATACTGTGCTGTTAAGCAAAAGGCTCCGAGTCTCTAGTGGTTCAAATCCAACAGTGGCTCCATAATAGAAAGATAAGTAGTCTCCTCCTGCTATAACTGACAGCCTCAGCAAGCCAATGAAGGGTAGCTGTGAATCAGCAACTGCTCGGTGACAGTCAGGTTTGTTTCTAATATATCAGAGAGCAATTATGCAATAAATAAGTTATTTTAATTTTTTTAAATGTTTCAGTAAATGTATACACATGGATTTATGCAATATTTAGAGAACTAACAGGTCTGTCCAAGAGAGGGTGAAACCAGGCTGCTGCTTTGAGGCAAGGATTTCGAGCCCGTCTCACATACTCTGGGCATGTAGCCAGTAGAAGCCAGTCTTTGGAGGATATCATGCTTGGAAGGGTCAAGGGATGGTGCAAGAGAGGAAGACCTTGGATGTGATGGATTCACACAATAACTGGGGTTATTACTAACTCTACTGACTCCACAAAGGGGCACTGCCCCGTCAACAGCCTTCACTACAAAAAGCCAATTCTCATGAGGTCAGACATCTCTCCAATACTCCTTGCACCTATTTCTAATTCCAACACTGTTCTTAAGGTTCTGTTGTTGATTGCCATCAAGTTGAGCACGACTCTTAGCGACCCTATGAACAAAAGGCCTGAAGCCCCTCAGCAACTATTGACGTTTATCAAAGTTCATGGAGTTTCTGGAGGCATGTTGCTTAGGAAGTGGATGCCACTCCTGCTCCAGCGGCCTAGTGACAAGAAGCTGCACTGCGATCCTGAAGGCACTTGGTTCAAGGCCACCAGCAGAAGGGTGGGTAATCTCCTGTGCGGTAAATTGCCTCTAAGAACCCACTGGAGTGTCAGCTATGGTTCAGTTCCGACTCTACAGTATACAACAACTACCACCACCTTATTCTTCACCAAGTTAAGAAGTTCCTTGGCAGCAGATTTGCCCAATGCCATATACATCCTTTGATTTCTTCACTACTGCATCCATTGGTGTTGACTGTAGAACCAAGTAAAATGAAACTTAATGCTCTACTGGGTCTGAAATCCCTTGAAATAACTCAGATCACATAGAACCTACTCAAACAATAATGAGGTTTATTTTTATTTTGTTGTGTGCTAACAAGTCAGAACTGATTCATAGCTGACCCTCCAGTGGGTTTTCAGAGGTAGTTAATTCCATGGGAGGAGATAGCTCATCCTTCCCTCGTGGAGCAGCTGGTAGATTTGAGCCATGTACCTTTGGGATTTTAGAGAGAGTGAGACAGTGTCAGAGATAGTGACATTGGCTCAGGATAGGGCAGGGCTCAGTTACTGTGCATAGGGTTGCTATGAGTCATAGTCAACTTGACAGCACATAACAGTAACAAGAAGGGTGCTCTTGGTGGCCTTGTGGTGAGGGAGAGCTC